GTGGTCAGCAAACTCATTAGTCAACAGAGCCAAATATCAACAGTACAACGATTGAAATTTCTTTTGAGAGCCAAATTTTTTAAACTTAAACTTCTAATGCCACTTCTTCAAAACAGACTCGCCCAGGCAGTGGTATTTTGTGGAAGAGCCACACTCATGGGGTCAAAGAGCCGCATGTGCATGTGGCTTGCAAGCCAAGGTTTGTGGAACACTGCCCTATTAGAAAACACCCAACTCTGAGGCTACTAAGGGATTAAAAGTAACAATTAGCCTCCAGGCTGAAACAACTTGGTCATCCTAATGAAAAAAAAAAAACCTCTCACCACACCTAAGGACAATTTCCTAGGGGCAATTCAAGTCGGAATACTATTAATTTGTAGATAGAGGCAGTCCCTGAAGGCTTAGAGTCTTTGCTTGATCCAATTAGTCAGAAACAGCTTTTAACACTGTCTTGCACTTGCGATTGAGAGGTACAGAGGACCTAAAGCATAGTAACAAACCCAAATGGACAACCAAAATGAGGAAACAAAGAAACAACCCCCAAATGAAAGAACCAGTGAATTCTCCAGAAGAATAAATGAAGCAGAGATAAGAAATTTATCTGAAACGGAGTTCAGAGTAATTATATTAAAAATGCTTAACAGGAGAATGGGAGGAGGAACCAAGATGGCGGCATAGGTAAATGCCTAACTGCAGCCTCACACAATAATTTCAGATGAGATCAGGCGCATTCAGGGTAGTATGGCCATAGTTTCACACAACAATTTCAAAAAAATACAACTAAAATACAAAATGGACATTATCCAGAACTACAGGAAGTTGACTGACGGAAATTCTACAACTCGAAGAGAAAACCAGAAGGAAAATCAGAGCTGTAAAAGCCTAAGGTACGGAGACACGGTGCGCACAGGGAGAGGACGGAGCCAGAGAGGAGGGGAGGCTGAGTGCCTGGCTGGCGTTCCCTAGCGGGAAGGAGATAAAAGCTCTGGGCTGTGCTGAACCTCAGTTCCGACAGCACTGGGCCTAAGTTCTGGGCGAGACCCTGGGGATCCAGGCTCATACAGAGGGAATCGAGACTGTAAGGCGAAAATTCAGGGGAGCGGTGAAAGGCAGTCCCGGAGTTGCGTACATTATGCGCAGAGGACAGACTGTTGACTCTGCTGCTAAATTGCCCTAGCAGGAACGAGACAAAAGCTCCAGACTGTGCTGAGCCCCAGTTCCGACTGCACTGAACCCCAGCTCTGGGCGAGACCTTGGGGACACATAGGCTCATACAGAGGGAATCTAGGCTGTAAGGGGGAGCAGCGAAAGGCAGTCCTGGAGTCACGCACATTACGCACAGAGGACGGACTGTTGACTGTGCCGCTGGATTACCCTAGCGCGAAGGAGATAAAAGCTCCAGACTTCCAACTTGCATCCCCACTTCCAACCCTAGTTCCAACTGTACTGAACCCGTTCCGGGCTCATTGGGGGAGAGACTAGACTGGTAGCTCCTTTCTCTCAGGTGCTTGCAGCGAGTACCAAAGGACACTGAGGAACACTGAGACTCAGGAACCTCATAGGGCAGGGCTGACCTCATAGAAGCCAAGGCTGTAGGCTCCACCCTGAAACTCCGCCCCTTCCAAGCTGAGCACAGAGGCTTTTACAATTTTCCAAGTCTAGTTGAATAAGGCTGTCTCCCAACAATGACACAGCTGATCCTCACAGCCAATTGGCCTGGAGGTCAGTTCCTCCCAGTGATACCAACAACAATCAAGACTTAACTACAACAAGGCTGTACACACAGTTCACAAAGGGGTGCACCAAGAGTGTCTACCTCAGGTAACTGGGAGGCTGACCCACTGAACCATATAGGACACCTTAGAACACAAAGCCACCCTACCAACTCAGGGAAGCAGTGAAAATGCCAAGACAAGGAAACAGATCACAAACGAAAGAAATGGAGGACAAAAAGCGTCTGGATATAGAGTTCAAAACCACGTTTATAAGGTTTTTCAAGAATTTCCTAGAAAAGGCCGATAAAATAAATGAGATCTATGAGGATATGAAAAGGGATCAACTAAAAATAAAGAATACATTGTCTGAAATAAAAAATATTATACAAAGTCCTAAAAACAGGATGGAAGATTGCAAGAATCAAGTCAAAGATTTGGAACATAAAAAGCCAGAGGACACTCCTCCACAGAAGCAAGAAGACAAGAGAATCCAGAAAGTTGAAGATAATGTAAGAAGCCTCTGGGACAACTTCAAGCGAACCAACATCAGAATCATGGGGTCCCAGAAGAAGAGAGCAAGATACCGAAAACATACTGGAAGAAATATTGACAGGGAACTTTCCCCACCTGGTGAAAGAAATAGACTTACAAGTCCAGGAAGCTCACTGAACCCCAAACAAAAGGAATCCAAAGAATACCACACCAAGACACATCATAATTAAAATGCCAAGAGCAAAAGACAAAGAGACAATATTAAAAGCAGCAAGAGAAAAGCAGGCAGTTACCTATAAAGGAGCACCCACATGACTGTCAGCTGATTTCTCAACAGAAACCATGCAGGCCAGACGGGAATGGCAAGAAATATTCAAGGTGATGAATAGCAAGAACCTACAGCCAAAAATACTCTACCCAGCAAAGCTATCACTCAGAAGCGAAGGTCAGATAAAGAGCTTCACAAATAAAAAAAAGCTAAAGGAGTTCATCACCACCAAACCAGAATTATATGAATTGTTGAAGAGGGTTAAGGAAAAGGAAGAAAATAAAGATAAAAATTATGAACAACAAATACGTAATTATCAACAAGTGAATCTAAAAACCAAGGGAATTAAAAAACTCTGATGAACAATATTAACTTGTGAATATAATAGAATCAGAGTTATAGAAGGGGAGTGATCTGATGATTCTCGGGGAAAAGGGGAGTGGGGGGTGCGGGAAAAGACTGAACATAAAATGTACTCCTATGGATGAGGACAATGGGGGGTGGGAACCTGGTAGAGGGGAACAATGGAGGGGGAAAAATGAGGAACATTTGTAATAATATGAACAATAAAGATTAAAAAAAATAAGTTAAAAAATGCTTAACAGTATGAAAAAAGACATAGTAATTATGAAAGAAGTACAATCTGAGATAAAGAATGACATAACACAAATAATACATTGGAAGGAATACACAGCAGATTAGGGGAAGCTGAGGATCGAATCAGTGATTTAGAAGATAGAGTTGAAAATATCACTCAATAAGAAAACCAGAAAGAAAAAAAAAATTTTAAAAAACAGGAGGGAGCTATTGGACAATGTGAAATGCAACAATATAATAGGTGCGCCAGAAGAGGCAGAAAGGGTGAAAGGAACAGAGAAGGTGTATGAAGAAATAATGGTAGAAAACTTCCCTAAGCTGATAAAGGAAAAAGTCACAGAAGTTCAGGATCCACAGAGAACCCCGAACAAGAAGAATCCAGATAGACCCATGCCCAACACATTATAATTAAAATGCCAAAAATTAAAGACAAAGAATCTTAAAGGCAGCAAGAGAAAACTATTACCTACAAAGGCGTTCCCATAAGGCTGACACCTAATTTCTCATTAGAAACTTACAGGCCAGAAGGGAATGGCATGAAGTACTCAAGGTAATGGAAAGCACGGATCTGAGACCAAGAGTACTATATCCAGCAAGGCTATCATTCAAAATAAAGAGCTTCCCAACAAAAAAAGGCTAAAAAGGTGAGTATATCACCACCAAATCAGCAATACAAGAAATGCTAAAAGGATTGCTGTAAGGGATTGCTGAGAAGAAGAAAACAGAGAGAGAATCCTAGCCATGCAAAATTGAAATGGCTATAAATAAGTACCTCTCAATAATAACCCTAAATGTAAATGGAGTAAATGCTCCAATTAAAAAGTATAGGGTAGCATAATAGACACAAAAACATAACCCAACCATATGCTGTCTACAAGAGACCCACCTCAAAACAAAAAAATACACACAGGATAAAATAAAGGGATGGAAAAAATTTTTCCATGTAAATGGAAAAGAAAAAAAAGCTGGAGTAGCAACAATACTCATATCTGACAAAATAGACTTAATAGCATCATGCTAAGTAAAATAAGCAGGTCAAGAAAGATAAATATCATATGATCCACTCATTTGTGGAATATAAACTGATGAACAAAAATAGAGGGGAGGGACGAGGGGCGGGAGAGAATATTCTAGAATATAATAGAAGTAATCCTATTATTTGCAGATTTTTTAAATATTTCCTACAACTTTTGTGATATCATACTATGCAAGTACAGTTTTAGTAATATTACTACACTTAAAATCCTTTTATTCTTGAAATATTAATGCTTATTGCATGTCATATTATATGTAAAATCATTTTTCTTGAAAAACTGGTGTTTATTGCATGTAACATATTTAAAATCGTTTTTCTTGAAGATATTGTTTATTGCATGTAACAGTATTATATTTAAGATCATTTTTTAAATTATTTATTTATTAATTATGGTATCGCATAATTGTCCTCATCCCTCCATTCCCATCCCAAACCCCTCCCAACGTATGCCTCACCCTCCTGTTGTCCATGGCCACTGGTTAGGCTTATATTCAAAGATCATTTTTCTTAAAAAATTAAAGTTTATTGGATGTAACATTATATTTAAAATTGTTATTCTTGAAATAAAAAATGAAAAAAAAAAATCAATGGAAATAATATCCTTGGGTAAGGATTATCAATAACAAAATAAACAACTTTGTGGAGACTTAATAATTACCTATCCAAAATCTCTTAAAATGCTGTGGATCAAAACAGATATGAAATAAAACTTGCATTATTGATTTTATACTTTTAAGGCCACTAATATAATGTAATTGTTACTATTAAGTGTAGATGGGGAAAAAAAGAAAGTAATATGGACTAAGTAAATGAATCTTTAAAGACTGGAAATAAATATGGACTATTTCAAATAAGTACACACTGTGCAATGTAAACAGAGAAACTTACATACCATGGTCACATTACTATCCAACTGTTGTGATTTCCAGTGACTTCTATGTCTGTTCACACTCTATAGGAAGAAGAGTTAGACACTGAGCTTCAGAGAACGGATGACTGAAAAGAAATCAATTGTACAACATTCTAATAATCCTAAAGCTTGGGAAATATGTTTCAAACTGTATTATGTCTAATGATTATAATAACTTGGTAATTGATTCATAAATATTCTTTTCTTTACAGTTCACAATTAAAAAATCTTACTTTTTTTCCTTTCTTTCTTTATTTATAAATATATTTTATTGATTTTTTTTTGCCCCCCTCTCTCCCTCCCACACATCCCCTCCCTCCCCAGAGTTTTATGTCCATTGGTTGTACTTATATGCATGTATAAAAGTCCTTCGGTTGATCTATTATCTCCCCCAGATCTTCCTCCCCTCCTCGCTGTAATTTGACAGTCTGCTTGTTGATATACTGTCTCTATATCTATCTTTTGATTCATCAGTTTATAATGTTCTTTATTATCCACAAATGAGTGAGGTCATGTGGTGTTTCTCTTTCATTGACTGGCTTATTTCACTCAGCATGATGTTCTCCAATTCCATCCAGGTTGCTGCAAATGATGAGAATTCCTTCTTTTTTATGGCAGCATAGTATTCCATTGTGTAGATGTACCATAGTTTTTTGATCCAATCATCTGCTGACGGGCACCTAGGCTGTTTCCAGATTCTAGCTATTGTAGATTGTGCTGCTATGAACATAGGGGTGCATATATCCTTTCTGATTGGTGTTTCTAGTTTCTTGGGATATAAAAATCTTACTTTTTTGAACTAAAGTCTAAATGCAGAAATAAATCTAAGGGATTAATTTGATTAAATAATTAAAGTACACTTACCTGTCGAATAGTTGAAAATTGTGCCACTTGTTGCTGTTGCCACTGAAGTGTGGGGGAATAGCCTTGAGGAGCAGGTTGGCATCCTGAAAGCTAGAGATCAGTTTGTAATTTTTAGAATCAATGTTAGTGTTGTAACTAGCATTTCAGCCTCTGAGAAATAAAATTATTTAAATAATACAGTAAGTGATTAAGACTATAAAAAAAGTACTTTTTGCTGATGTAAAAAAAGTAGGGATTTCACTTATTGTCTGAGTTTAAAGTGTTAGGAGCCCTGGCCCATGTGGCTCAATTGGTTGAGTTTCACACCATGAAACAAAAGGTTGCTGGTTTGATTCCTGGTCAGGGTACGTGCCCAATTTGTGTGTTCCATCCCTGGTTAGGGTGTATGCAACCAATCAGTGTTTCTCTCTCCCTCTCCCTTTCTCTTTCTCTAAAATAAATAAAAAACATTATTAAAAAAAAATAAAATGTTAGGAAAAGACCCTTATTTAGTCACTTTAATAAAAGCAATCTGGAATGTTTATAGTTGTAATATCTAAGAAATCTACATGATATGAGAACTAAAGATATAATCTAGTCCTACCTTTCTAGAATAGCAAAAGTCTGAAACAAAAAGATAAGCCCCAAATAAACAATTTTAGTATAGGCAGAACATACTCAAATAATTTAAGACATTTGATCCTGAAAGGTCTACTTCTATTTCCTAAAACAATACATAATTCACAATTGATCACATATTGCCTTAAAATAAAACTTAGTGCAGCCCTAGCCAGTTTGGCTGTGGATAGAGCATCAGTCTGTAGACAGAAGGGTCCTGGGTTCCATTCTGGTCAAGGGCACATGCCCAGGTTTGGGGCTTGATCTCCAGTAAGGGGCATGCAGGAAGCAGCCAATCAATGATTCTCTCTTGTCATTGATGTTTCTATCTTTCTCTCTCCCTTCCTCTCTGAAATCAATAAAAATATATTTAAAAAAAACAAATACACACACAAAAAACAAAACTTAGTGAGGTCACTTTTTAAAGCCAGGTATATAAGGCATTATCTTCCATTAACTGAAAAAACACTTATATGAAACACTGAGTGTCTGAATTAAAATGTGCTAATTATAAACATCAGATAAAAAAAATTACTTAGAACATAAAAGGAAAAGGATTTATCACAATTTAAAACTGCTCCTCTGCCCTAATCAGTTTGGCTCGGTGGATAAAACATCGGCCTGCGGACTCAAGGGCCCTAGGTTTGAGTCTGATCAAAGGCATGTACCTTGGTTGCGGGCACATCCCCGGTGTGGAGTGTGGAATGTGCAGGAAGCAGCTGATTGATGTTTCTAACTCTCTATATCTCTCCTTTCCTCTTTGTTTAAAAAAAATATATATATATATATTTTTTTTTTTTTATTGATTTTTTTTTGCCCCCCTCCCTCCCTCCCACACATCCCCTCCCTCCCCAGAGTTTTATGTCCATTGGTTGTACTTATATGCATGTATAAAAGTCCTTCAGTTGATCTATTATCTCCCCCAGATCTTCCTCCCCTCCCCGCTGTAATTTGACAGTCTGCTTGTGTGTTTATTTTGTGTGTGTATATATATATATATATATATATATATATATATATATATATATACACACACAAAATAAAACTGCTGCTCTCCTTTGACTTTAAATTCACATTCTCAAGAGAGCTTCTGTGACTAAAGCAGTTCTCCTGTTATTTACTGGTCATTATATGTTAATTTTCTTCACACAGCAGTCACAATATATAATGATTTAATTTGTTCATTTAACATCTGTCTTCCTCAGAAGAATACAAATTCTATAAGGACAGGGGCCTTTTCTGTCTCATCCTCTGTTTATTCCCAGTGCCAGACACAACCTACCTGGTTAGTAAAATATGTGCTGGATAAATGAATGAAAATGTTCAGTGTACAAGTAGTTAAAAAAAAAAAAGGTTAAGATATATGGGTTTCTTCCTTAAAAACAAAAACACACCAAGTCAAAATCTGAACATAATTTGCAACAAATTACATTAAAATTAAATAGTACGATAAAAATTATGACGATAACTGGACAAGTTTACTTAAGAATAAAGGTTATGCCCTGCCTGTGTGGCTCAGTGGTTGAGTGCATGAACCAGGAGGCCTCAGTTGATTCTCAGTTGATTCTCAGTCAGGGCAAATATGCATCTCAGGCTTGATCCCCAGTAGGGGGCATGCACGAGGCAGCCCATCAATGATTCTCTCATTATTGATGTTTCTACCTCTCTCCCTCTCCCTCTCCTTTCCTCTCTGAAATCAATAAAAATATATTTTAAAAAATAAAAAGAATAAAGGTTAGCCGGGACCGGTTTGGCTCAGTGGATAGAGCTTCCACCTGCGGACTGAAAGGACCCGGGTTCGATTCTGGTCAAGGGCATGTACCTTGGTTGCAGGCACATCCCCAGTGGGGGGTGTGCAAGAGGCAGCTGGTTGGTGTTTCTCTCTCATCAACATTTCTAACTCTGTTCCTCTCAATTCCTCTTTGTGTAAAACCAATAAAATATATTAAAAAAAAAAGAAAAAAAAAGAATAAAGGTTAGCATAAAGGACTAATTTAACGACTTCTTCAGGATTGGATCATGTCCCTTAAGTACGAAGAGCAAATCTCTACAAATGCCAGGGTTACTGAGAGCTTCCTGTGGCAGTAAATGGCAATTGTCCTTTTGGAGGAAAAAATACAAGCAAATGTCTAACTTATCAGGGAGTAGCTGTCAATGCTACATACATCTTCACTGATAGGTACTGTTGGACACCATAGGAAGAATCTTGGACTTTTAATTTGGGGTTTGTGTGTAAAATATTCCCAGACGGGTAATAAAACTCACAGAAACATTCACACTTTGCTTCCTTTTCAACTTCTTTGGGTCAATCTGAGCTACCACAACGTCTGGACACTGAGCGGCTTCGATCCTACAAGTAAGTAATAAATGCAAGAAATGTGATTACAGGTGCTTTGTTCATGTGTAATCAAACAAGCTATCAATTTCTACAGTTCATGACATCAGAAAAAAAATAGTTCAGAACTACAACTGAGGCACTGACCGATCTACTTCTTAAATTATCTTGTCACGGGTACTCAAGTTTAATTATAAGTAAGTTCACAGAAGCTCGCCCACGTAAAGTCATGGTCAAGCGCTCCGGAGCCGGCCGGGGCGGAGGCGGAGGGGCCGCGGCCGGGCTCCCGCCCCCGGCGGCTGGACCGGCTGCGGCGCCCGCGGGAGGGAAGGGAAGGCGCCCGCCCCCCGCCCAGGCCGAGTCACTCACTGGACCCGCCTCAGGTATTCCTGAGGCGTCCTCGGAGGGATGGAGGGGTCGAAACCTTCTGTCAAGTCGCAGGGCTCCACTGGCAACAGCCGGGGCATCAGCTCTTCCACGGCAGCCTCGGCGGGCACCCACGCCATGGCTCCCAACCCAGCCGGCCCGCCTCCGGTCACGACGCAGGCGCACGAGCAGGCGCTTTGGCGCCGAGCGGAGCCCGCGGCAGCCGACGGGGCGTGGCTGCGCATGCGCAAACCTGCGCCCTGGTCTAAGGGTCGGGGAAAAACTGAGGATTAACAACTTTTTATGCACCGCTAGTAGTGAGGGGTCCCAAAGTGTTTTCTTTTTTTAAATTAGTGAGCACTATTACTGTAATTATCCTTTATTGACCTCTAAATTCTTAAACCCCTGGTAGGTCACATACATCTCCTCATGTACTTTTTTACAGCCTTTTGAAGTAGATGGTATTATCCCAGTTTTGAAAGGGAGGAAATCGACCTAAAGAGAGTATAAGTATTCCCAACAGTGAACCCAAAAGGGAAGAAAAGCCAATTCCCACCCAGATTTGTCTGAAAACAAATGAACAAAAATTTAATTTTCTTAGGAATCTCTTGTGCTTGGCTACTTCAAAGATCATTTTATATTTATCTAAAGTGGATATTACTCCTAGAATAACCATTCGTTTTTTTCTTTTATTCCCCCCCCCCAAAAAAAAAGAACTCTTCTTAAATATAAGTAGTGCAAAGGATAAAACCAATGCTAACAACCAGGAGCCACCATTATTATCATAATCTTAGAGCCTATCTTGTGAGTTGAGTACTATTATCTCCATTTTACAAATGAGTAAACAAGACAGAAATAATGTAGATAACATTGGTTGGATCACAAATTGCAAGAAAAAGATGAAAGTATTAAATATAAACAAGCTCTGTGTGAATACAATTGACTTTTATTTATAAGGTTTATATTTTTGTTTGATGCATTTGGTTTTTTTTTTTTTTTAAACAAAAGCACTGCCTTTAGCAATTGATTTAGAAACCAGAATGTAACTTACTCAATTGAAGACCAAATGAGGACAGTCCTTAGGTTAAAAACTCCATGTAGGTCGAAACCGGTTTGGCTCAATGGATAAAGCGTCAGACTGAAAGGTCCCGGGTTCAATTCTGGTCAAGGGGATGTACCTTGGTTGCGGGCACATCCCCAGTAAGGGGTGTGCAAGAGGCAGCTGATGGATAATTCTCTCTCATCAAAGTTTCTAACTCTCTATCCCTCTTCCTCTCTGTAAGAAATCAATAAAATATATTTTAAAAAAATAAATAAATAAAAATATTAAAATTGTTTCTAATAAAAAAAACTCCATGTATAAGAACATAGCAAAACTACACATGGATAAAGGAAGAATAGAGAGGAATAACGGAATGAACATAAGACTGATCTGGGAAATAATAATATTTTCCAAAAGAAAAAATGTGTAATAAAGTACACTAGTGATTTTGAAATGCTTCAAAAAAAGACAAAGGGATTTGCGCTAAGGCAGTTAATTGTGGAAAAGTGATTAGGAAGATAAGGGTTAGTTTAATAAGGTTTGTTTGTACAGATTTATGTTGGCCTTGAGTCTCCATTTCTGGTGGTAAGAATGTCTTCCTTCCTCCTGGCATAGGATGGGAGTTTTATCTCCTGCTCTGAGGAAGGAAAAAGAAGATCTGAGTGCCCTTTTTGCATCTGCCATTTTCCAAACACCTAAAACTCACTATCATATTGGTTAGGGGTGCATATTTGGTTTTCTTTAGTTGGTCCTAAATTGGAAGCCTGGAAAGAATTAGTAAACCTGTTATTTTGGAATAATTATTATATGGATTGTTATTTATCTTCTTGAATTGTTGCTAGTGCTAGCAGTTGAACTTCCTACAAGTTTGACTTATAGAAGGCTTCCCAGGCTAGTTACAATAGAATAATAGGTTGGTTTCCTGGGACGGTTGCTGCAGATTGTGGATCAGAGTCCTATTTGTTTTAAATATTCACCTGAGAATATGTTTTTATTAATTTTAGAGAGAGAGCCAAAACCAGTTTGGCTCAATGGATAGAGCGTTGGCTTGGGGACTAAAAGGTCCCGGGTTCGATTCTGGTCAAGGGCACATATCTTGGTTGCGGACATGTCCCCGTAGGGGGTGTGCAAGAGGCAGCTGATCGATAACTCTCTCATCGATGTTTCTAACTCTCTATCTCTTTCCCTTCCTCTATGTACAAAATCAATAAAATATATTTTTAAAAATAAATAAAATAAATTTTTCAGAAAGAGAGGCATTGAGAAGGAGAAAGAGAAACATTATTGGCTGCCTTCTGTATGCACCCTGACCAGGGATAGAGCCTGCAACTTAAGTATGTGCTCTAACTGGGAATCAAACCTGAAACTTTTGGATGTGCAGGAAGACAGTCCAACCAACTGAGAAACCCAGCCAGCACCAGAGTCCTATTTTTATCTTTATGGTCAGGCCATTGTCCATTTGTATATCCAGTCTCAGCAGGTAGAAAAAAGAGCTCATTCAAGGCCTTATTGTTTAAGGAAGTTTGTCATGTTGGGAAAGTTCGATAAAGGTCAGTATGTTGATGTATAGACAGTAGAGGATGAATAGTGCTGAACAGAGTTATGAGAAATGTAGCTGTGGAAAAAATTGGTACCTCTACACAGTGGAATACTACACTGCGGTAAAAAAGGAATTCTTACCATTTGTACCAGCAGGGATGGAATTGGAGAGCATTAGGCTAAGTGAAATAAACCAGGCAGAGAAAGATAAATATCACATGATCTCACTCATTTATGGAATATAATGAACAACATAAACTGATGAACAAAAATAGATCCACAGATAGAGAAACATTGATCAGACCATTAAACCTCAGAGGGAAGGTAGGGAAGGGTGGGGGTAAGGCAAAGAGATCAACCAAAGGACTTGTATGCATGCATATAAGCCTAACCAATGGACACAGACAACAAAGGGGTGAGGGTATGAGGGGGTATATAGGGAGGGTAATGGGGAAATAAGGACACATATATAACACTGTAATCAATAAAGAAATTTTAAAAAATGCCCTGATTGGTTTGGCTCAGTGGATAAAGTGTCAGCCTGCGGACTGAGAGGTCCCCAGTTCAGTTCTAGTCAAGGGCACATGCCTGGGTTGCTAGCTTGATCCCCTCTGGGGGAGGTGCAGGAAGCAGCCAATCACTGATTCTTTCTTGTCATTGATGTTTCTTTCTTTTAAAAAAAAAAATATATTTTTTATTGATTTTTTACAAAGAGGAAGGGAGAGGGATAGAGAGCCAGAAGCATTGATCAGAGAGAAACATTGACCAGCTGCCTCCTGCACATCCCCCATCAGGGATGTGCCCACAACCAATGTACATGCCCTTGACCGGAATCAAACTTGGGACCTTTCAGTCCGCAGACTGAGGCTCTATCCACTGAGCCAAACTGGTTTTGGCTCATCATTGATGTTTCTATCTTTCCCTCTCCGTCTCTGAAATCAATGAAGATATTTAAAAAATAAAAAAAATTAAAAATATGAATAAAAACAAGTAAGGCTCTAGCCAGTGTGGTTCAGTAGTTAGAGTGTCAGCCCCCCAAACCAAAGACTCACAGGTTCCATTCTTTTTTTTTTTAATATTATTTTATTTTATTTTTTATTTTTTTTATTTTTTATTGATTATGGTCTCACATAATTGTCCTTATTCCCCCATTCCCATCCCAAACCCCTCCCTAGATATGCCCCCCACCCCACCCCCCATTGTCCATGGCCACTGGCTAGGCCACAGGTTCCATTCTTGACAAGTGCACATTCCTGCGTTGCAGGCTCTATCCCCTGGTGCATACAGGAGGCAACCAATCAATATCTCTCTGTCACACTGATGTTTCTCTTTCTCCCCCTCTCTCCCTTCCACTTTCTCTAAAAATTAATGGAAAAATATCCTCTGATGAGGATTAACAACAACAACAAACACACACACACACACACACACACACACACACACAAAACAAACAAACAAAAATAACAAGTAAAATAATTCTATTCGAACCAGTTATTGTAGTTAGGTGGCAAGAGCCTGTTCTGGCAGTCCTGGTAAGGCAGGAATCCACAGTGCACAGGACTCACTTTCATTGCCTGGTCACTTACATGCACCCATGCTCACTCCCACTGGGAAAATGTAGCCATACCATTTCACCTTGCATGCACATCTTTGGGATGTGGGAGAAAACCAGAGTGCTTGGAGAAACCTATGTATGCATGGGGAGAATGTGCAAACTCTACAGTGAAAGTGACCCTGGCCAGGAATTAGTTTTCCCCCTCTCATCACTGTTATAATGAGACTAGAGGCTCAGTGCACAAAATTTGTGCATTGGTAGGGTCCCTAGCCTTTGCCAGCAATTAGGGTCAGTCTGTGGAGAGACTATTGGGGTGATTGGGGGGCCCCTGATGGCACCCACCTTGGTTGGCCTAGAGCTGCCCATTCACTGGCCCCCGCTCTCTGCCCTGCTACCACTGGCAACCACCTTGGCTGGCCTGGTGCCTGCAGGCTGGGAGCAGCACCTGTATTGAGTCCCCCCTGGTGGTCAGTGAATGTTATAGTAACTGGTTGGTCTGCTGTTCTGTTGATTTTATTATATAGGATGGCATTTGAGGGCCAGCTCTACATAATGAGACCTTCTATGACTCAGGGGTATGCAGCTGATTGATGTTTCTCTCTATCCCTCTCCTTTCCTCTCTGTAAAAAATCAATTAAAAATATTTTTAAAAAATATATTTTATTGAAAAAACAGAATTGGGAGGATCCAAGATGGCTGCTCAGGTACACACCTACCGCAGCAGCACACAACAATTTCAATGGAATACAACTAAGGTGTAGAGTGGACATTGCCCAGAGCTACAGGTAGTCGACTGACTGAAATTTCTACAACAAGAAGGAACGAGAAAACCAGAAGGAAAATCAGAGGAGCTGAAAAAGCCTAAGGTACGGAGACATGTTGCGTGCACGCGTGCGTGCGCTTGGAGAGGACGCAGCCGGAGAGTAGGAAAAGGCTGGGTGCCTGCCTGGCGTTCCCTAGCAGGAAGGAAATAAAAGCCCCGGACTGGGCTGAACCCCAGAACC